TTTCCCTTTCACCCCCCCCCTCCCCCTCCGCCCCGAATTCCTGCGAGACGCCGCCGTGTAATCCTCGACACGTTTCATTGTAAGAACAATTAGTGTACCGCTCGGGAAAGAGAGTCTGCGGGGACGATTCTTTTATAGATTAGTTCGCGAAGGATTCGCAGGGGGATGATTAAGATCCTTTGAATGTGGCGCGCTGCGGGCGTTCTTTTGTTCATTTCTGTTTTATTATACCGGTTGTGTCGCGCGGTATCGCGATCTAGATATTCAACTGTCATCGGCAAAAAGTACGGACAGGTCGAGAAACTTGAGGGTTCAGTCTACTCTAGCAATGTGAAAAATAATTTTTAGGAATTTTTTTTTTTTTTGAAGAATATGAAAAATTGATTTTTCGGCGTTTTACAGATTTGTTTATTGATGTTCAAACAATGTGTCAGTATTTTTAATCTTGAATATTTACTTTTTTTTTGTTTAATATACGTGCCTATGTGCATAGTGTGTTCGAAAATATATAGTTCGATGGTGTGACATGCTGCTCCACGTGTTTAATTGTCTGAAATGAGTAAACTCGATCTAGTTTTATTTTATAGGATATTTATGGGCTATTGAACCTAATTTCATTAGAGAAACTTGAAAAATAACAAAATAATATCATTTCAAAATTAGGTATTTTATTTTGCTAAAATTTATTCATTTCTTGAAGGTTGAAAAAATATTAAATATTAATTTTTTTAATTTAATTTAATTTTTTTTCATTTAAAAAGAAATTGAAAAATAATAAAATAATATCATTGTAAAATTAAAAGAATTTTTAAAGGTATTTAAAGATATTTTATTTTACTAAAAATTTATTTATTTTTTGAAGAGGTTGGAAAAATATTAAATATTATTTTTTTATATTCAATTTAGAATCCCCCAAAAAGTGTTCTTTTTCATTTTAAAGAAAATTGAAAAATAACAAAATAGTATCATTTTAAAATTAAGTATTTCATTTTGTTGAAATTTATTCATTTCTTGAAGGTCGAAAGAAGATTAAATATTAATTTTTTAAATTCAATTTAGGTTCAATATCCCCCAAAAAGTGTTCTTTTTTATTCTAAAGAAAATTGAAATTATTCGGTCCATTAGTTTTCCGTCACTTCAACTTTAAAAGCAGTGTTTTGAGAAAAACGCGTTTCAAGATTTGCAGATCCATTTAAAAGCCCGCGCATCATCCTATTCAAAATCTTATAACTCCGTCAATTTTGTGAATTTTTCAATAAAATGTGAAAGACATATTTTTTAGACATTATATTTTTAGAAAATGTAAAAGAAAAATTGTTTTTTTTTACTCTAAACTAGACCCTAGACCCTTAAGTTATCGGTTAACTACATTGAAAAATGTTAATAGTTTAACTGGCTTCTCGAATGTTGCACTATCTCAGTAGTATTAATAGTAATTATACTATTCATTTCTCTAGCCAAAAGTGAATGATCTTGACTTTTTGAGAGGCTAGTCGTTTATTCTCGGCGTGAAGGGCGAATTAACGCAAAGTAGACCGATCGCGTTGACACTGTCTCCGCAACCGTGGAGAGAGACCTTTACGAGCGCGCGTAATCCTGTGCGTACAACGGGATCTACGCGTACGTAAACGCAGTCCGTCCCGGACCCCGCACATCCGTAGGCGGCCTCTTTCGCATGCGTAACGCCTGCGGTCGACGCGCGTTGTTGGGCAGGTGAACCGGGACGAGAGCGACACGCAGGAGAGGAGGACGAGCGAGGGGGGAAGTTACTAATTGTCCGAGCCCTTTGCCCCTCGACCTGACCCCCTCATCAACGCTGATTGCCTAACTCTAGGACCCTCCAACCAGGGTCCTCACGATTCTAGACTGGCGAAGAGGATCGACGTCCTCCTCTCTGTCAACGTGTCGACGAAGCGCCCGCGCAAATCAACCGCTCCTTCCGCGTCGCATTATACTTTGATTGCTCGTCCTGAGGTGTCCCCCTCGGCCCTTTGTCCATCTCCGTGTTTGGAATAGCGAGAATAACTTTATTTACTTCGATGTACAGAGTAATTGAAAGAAATTCGATTTTCGTTATTTTTGAAATGAAATTTTCGTATCGTGAATCTTTTATGATAACGCATGCGAGATATAGACTGTCACACACGAAACTCTTCGCGTATAATATAATATGTATGCAAATCTGGTAGCGCTACAATTAATGCGATTATCACGAAAAATTTTCAGCTCTATCTTTATACTCGATCGCGGGGTTACGAGGACAGATGCAATAATCGCTCGACATCGTGACACGTAAAATGTCGAGGGATCTCCTATAATAAGAGCGAAAGTCGATTATTCAGTCCCGGATATCCGCGCGTCTATCCGCCGTTGATTTTTCCATCCCATGCCATCGACGGCTGACTCGATTATACATGACGATTCTTTGAGCAAACATTAGTTAGCGCCAGTTCGGCTCGCGCCAGCTCGGATTGGCTTGGATCGGTTCGCCTCGGTTCGTGCGGTGACCCTTCATGGTTGCTTGGTTCCGTTGTCTACTCGTCAACGAGCAGCCCCACGGGCTACACAGGGTGTCAACGCGGTTCTCATTTTCTCGCTGGAGCTAATCCTATTAAGCGCCCCGTGCAAAGCTACGTCGAGCTGCGTGCGCGCGACCGGTTTTCAACATTTCAGAGCGCGCGATTCGATCGCGATTTTTAATCAAGGCAATCTGATCAAGATTTTACATCGCGCCAACACGTTACGTGCCGCGTATCGAATTTTTGCCGCGGGGCGTTTTCTCGATCCCGAGAATATATGTATATATACATATATATATATATATCGGCGACAGCGCGCGCATACGTCGCACCTGCAACCGGAATGCGAAAATTGAGTTATTCGACGTCACCGAGATTAACTGCACTCGTGCTCTGTGCGCCAGTTGACAAACACGACCGGAACAATTCAGAAAAAAAACTATCCCTTACCCCAGGTCATGTTTCAGCGTTGATGGCAGGGATACAATCCCGACGGACATTTTGCGTCACGCGACGTCTCGTTGAATCAAGCGAACGTTCGCCGATCTCGCTTCTGCTTCGCCGAAGTGCCCGAAATTTAAACATAATTATAATTATTATTTGTAAAAGAAAAAAAAAATGCATCTCTACGAACGATCTTGACCGATCTTACCGGGCGAAGAACCACTGACTCGTCTCGGATTTATTTTCGACGCAATAATTGAGAACCGCTGTGATGTCCCGAGCTTCTATAGGTACTAATACAGATCTCACGCACTCCCCTCGATATAAACCATACTCCACCCTTGTGTTCGCCGTATGGGATCCTCTACGCACGCACGAAAGAGACGGAACGATCGCGCGACGGTACGACCATTCAGATTTAAATCGCGACCGAAAAAAAAAAATATATATATATGGATCCCCCTTTGCAGCAGCACGGAGTGCGTTTCGCTCTCTTTCATGTTCTGCCTTTCTGCTCCCAACGCTTGAACTATTCGACGATACTTTTTTGACACTTTTGAGAATGGATCTCGCGCGCGCGCGCGATGATATCGATCATTCTTATATATATATATAGGATATAATAATGATCGATGGTTAAATTTAACTTTAAAATGGTGCTAAAAACAGAGGTGAGATTAAATGGCAGACTGTTTAGATATTTTCACGTATAGATCTCGATTTTATTCCTCTTGCGTTGCATCTCTATATTATACCATTTCTGTTTACATTAAATCTTTCTGATAAATATCTTTCTTATAATATAAATAATATCGATATCTCTGTCTTTTGGTCTCTGTCTCTCTTTTTCATCACTCATTCACTCATTTATACTTGCACGTACACTTTTATGAACACACGAATGCAGATAAATTCTTGCCTCTTTATAACTATGCTTTATTGTCCACGAACTATATACACGACATATATACAATTCGTTTTCGTATATGTGTACATTTGTTCAAATTTCGTCGTGAATTATATAAATTTCTAATTTATTAATAAAATTATTTATAAATTACGAACAACTTTTTAGATTTAAATCGACAAAATGACCCCTTATCCTTCTCCCCCGTGTTCTTCCTACCTTCGTAAAACCGAAGAAAGAAATGCGCTTGCGTGCGCGCTAACGAACACTCGGAAAAACGATAACACGAAGACATTTTGCCATTTTTTCCAGAGTTAAAATCTGATGAGCTAAGAAGCTCGCGTCAGAAACGGCGTCATCCGTTACATGGCGGCGACGAATTATCTCTCACTAGCCTTTCAGGACCTTGTCATTATGAATTGTCATTATCGCACGAGTCCGGTTGGATCTATGGTTTCGAATATGGCCTCCAGACTGGTTTCGTAGATGGCTTGGTCGGCGACGGACTCCTCCTCTCGGATTGCGATAGCCTCTGGGAGATGAGAGCGGTAGGCGCCTTCAGGGCGTTCCTCACGCCTTCGGTTGGCTTCCTCTCGCTCTTGTCCGGCGGCGACGTCGTGGACGTGCTCGGGGGCAGAGTGTTGATTCGAAGGGGCACGAAGGCACTTCGGATCTCGTCGGTCGGTGAGTCGTTGCTGGACGTGTTGCCACTGGGTGGTGATCTGGACGGGCTACTCGACAGAATGCCGGCCGTTGCCGCTGTCGTCGAGGCAGTTGTCGTCATGGTCGTCGTACCGGCCGTCAGTGCCGCGTATTCGGAATATTTGATGGCATCGAACGTGTACGGCGGGAAGACCGGCGGGAAGCCCGGATTGAACAGGTCCGCGGGTGGTGGCATTGGCATCGCTCCTGATGTAGAGAGAGAGAGAGAGAGACAGAGAGAGAGAGATAGAATCGGTTAATCTCGACCGACCATTCGCGGGGGCGAACGTAGTGTAAGTCGCATTGTTGTTTCAACGACGGGCGGGAGGGCAGGGGGAGCGCGTTAGAGGGGTTCGCTGTGGGAAAAGAGAACTCAGATCTCACCCCTCGGTCCAGCTCACGGGGTATGAATCATCGGCAGGCGTCGCGGACTCGACGAAATCGATAACGCGGATTCTCTCGTAAGCGCGCGGGCTCTCTTTTGAGATTTTTTTTTTCTTTCGCGTTTGTGATACACGGAGACGTGAAACAACAATCTTCTCGCGTTTAATTTTTTTTTCTTTTTTTTTTTTTGGGTCGTGCGACTTTACCTTTAATCAGAGCAGGATGCGGCAAATGCCAGCCGTGTCCGAGATACGCGGTGTCCAGCCAAGGATTGAGTAAGCCGCCCAATCCTGGAAATCCGGGGATATATTGACAATCTGTAAAATGAAACGTAAATACATTTAATTACATCGCTATCTTCGATAAATAAATCCTATCTACATATTCCATCTCTCGCGCAGAGTTCTTACATCGGTGGGCTATACGCGTACGTTATAAATCCGCGCGAAAAATAAAACTTAAAGACCGACTCGTGAAACCGTTACACGATCCGCTTGCCGCTCCGAGGAGACGAGGTCTCGGAGTGACGCGGACTAACCGAACCGACAAACACCAGAAAGAAGGAACCCGAGGCCTATAAAAGCGAAGATTAACGGCGCTTCCCCGGTCGATCCGGAGGAGGCGGCGGCAGCCTAGTGTATCTCTGTTTATACGAGCATGGCATAAAATCCATTATTACGACGTGGCGCGCGGGTTTTCGTGGCGCGGCACATGCTACCGCCATATGCGGTGCGATAAACAAACGCGGCTTCTCTTTTGCAGACGTCCATCTCCCCTTCCCCTCCCTCCACGTCCCGTGACCCCTTCTGGCTTCTTTCCCCGGGTGCCCGGGACTAATAAACAGTTGGACTTAATGCGCCGCGGCGACCGACCGGCGGCCGGTTTTCGGGGAAAATAAACGCGAATGTAGGAGGCCGAAGGAATGTAATGCCGATGTTAGCATAGATCTTGGTTTTTCGCGGATTTGACGCCACACACACAAGCCAAAGAAATTCCCCCCTCGTGCATTATCATCTCAGCCGTATGTATATGCGTATGAGCGGCGCGTGCATGTGCGGGGGCGCGCGCGCGCTTGCTCGCTCGTTCGTACACGTGCGAGCCCGCCGCCGCCGACGCTCGGGCGTCGAGGGCTGCTCGGCAACCGTTCAGCGCCAACCGCCACCACCTCGCGGTTTGAGGTCCGCCAGATATACGCCGGATTATTAAACGCCCGCGAGGCCCCGTTTGCGGATTCCGCGGTGGTCACGGAGTTTCCGACGACTTTTCGGCCGCCGCCGACTCCCGAAAACACAAGCCGCGTGTCCTCTCTACCCCCTTCCTCCCCCCCCTTCCTTCTTCCTTGTTTTTCTTTCTCCGCGATTAATGATATATACTATGTACTAGTATTTGTTTCGCGACGTATTTAAAAAAAAAAGTACGAAATGGAGATTGAGATTTCAAAATTGATTTTCTTTGAATTTAAATTCTGAAGTATTACGTCGTCGATTATATACGTCATAAAACATTGTGTTGTGTATATGTATCTGTATTTGTTTTGTAGTTATCATTAGACTGCTAATGACAAGGTCGAATGTATTATGTACATCGACTTACTCGCTTTAGATCTTGGCTCGCGTGGTCCGTCGACTGTGACCTTGATGGCTTTGGAATAGGTAGCTATTTGGTGCGGCATCGAGCTGATCTGGATTGTCAGTGAGAATGATTTTCCTGTAAACGGGAACGAAATCTGATTTTTAAAGCTTAGCTGATAAATGGAGAGCTTGCACGTGACTGTCCAAGTTCTCGGACTCACCTCTTCCGCTGCGACCGACGAATCTAAGATCGTTGAACTTGGCGACTTGATTCTTCATGACGGCCGTGCAATTTCTCAGTTCGCCGAAGCAGTTCTCGTCATTGCCCGCCCTAATGGTGACCAGGGTACCGTCGCTGACTTCGTCAAGTGCAATGACCTTGAACGCTACCGGAAGAGACTTGTTTGACCTCCAGTGGCACGGTAGCGTAGAGCACAGGATGGTGGGACTTCCTGTCTGCACCAAATCCCCATGACAGCTTCTGAGGGCTTCGTAGATTGCCTTGTAAGTTTCCATCGCCAACGGACCATCCGGCAAATGCATTCTTTTTCCAATTTTTGGCGGAAAGTCCAAAAGAAAAGAGTATGATTATTCTTTCACGGCTATCAACTTGTACGCGCAAACACTGATAACACAATCGGTCACTGGTCTTTTTTTCATAATTCACTGCTGTCACATTCGCGAAAAAAACAATAAGCACAATAAACAATAAACACAAGTTATCTCTTTGTGCCCCCCTCACTTTCTCTCTCTTTCTCTCTCAGCGAAGAAAGTTGATCGTGCTCCAGATTCGAGTTGATGTTTCGCGAGCGCACCTTCGTAGCGCGAACTTGTAAAATAAATCGGACTGACGCGCACTCGGTGCCGGCTGAGCGGATTCTAGTTTTTCGTGGCCGTAGCCGCAGCTATTTAGGGGGGATTTTTCTCCCCTCCAATTTTTCCGGAGCCCCACCCAGGACAAGCGCGTCGACCAATGAGGACGGCGGTCGTGTTGTGGCCTCCGCGGCTCGCCGCCTTCGCCCCTAACCAGGCTTAGGGGGTGCTTTGCGAAAGGGGCTGCCTGCCTGCCGCCTGGCTCGCCAAGGGTGGCTTGGCGCCTCCGCTCCTATCTCTCTACCATTCCCTCGCTCCTTCTCGCTCTTGTCGTCTCCGTCGTCTCTCCTTCTACCCCGTTTCACCTGTCTCCCTTCCTCGGTCTCTCTGCCTTCTCGCATTCTGCTCTCCTCGTCATGCTTTCCTCGTCGCTACCTTTCCACCTACGCCACGCTTACGTGACGACGTAAATTCTCACGCGCACGTGTTCGAACTACCCCACCACTCGCGAGCGATCTCCACGACCCGACTCCGACAGCTGCACGCGTTTCTTGACCTCTAAGGCTAATGCGTCTTGCCCAAGCGGTGAACCGACAAAGCTTCTGTGCGTGCTATATTTTCTCTGTAATACAAAGTACGCGCGATGTACAATTTTGAAATATTATTTCAAGATGATGATATAATTTAAGAACATCGAAAATAGTGTTTATATTTTTTATCTGTGACAGTCTCAGAAGTAAACCATATTATGTTTTCTTCCTGAATCTAGTTTTGAAAATTTTTATTTCGTTTATATTTTATGTGAAAATTAAAGACAATTTGATTGACTGATTTATATATTTTTTATAGAAAAATATATTATATATACGCGAATTTATTATAAGAATGAATATTTAGTATCTTGATATCTCACAAGATTATAAACTATCTCGTAAAAAATTACTAGAGGCTAAATATATATACCGTCTCGTTTTATTATCTAATTTTATTTTGTCTTATATTATTTTGTCTTATAAATAACGTCCTTAAAATAAAATTTTTATAAGGATCTATATTTTGCATAGTAAAGTAATGTCGAAGATAGTTATATATAAAATTACTTTGCAAGAAAATGTTTATCAGAGACGATCTCTCTTTTAAATTCTTCTTGTATATTTTTCATGTTTATTTTATATTCTGTTATATACCGCTTTAATCGAGAGACTCGCGCAGAATTTCACAATTTTATTAATTAATAAAACGGTTTTATTAATATGAATAATTAGCAAATGACTAAATAAAAAATGACTGACGAGACTGATCAAAGAAACGTTATCTGAATCGATTTCTGCATACCCACGATGCAGAAGATAAATCTTTGTTAGAAAGTAAAATCATGGTTGTTATTTCCACCATAAATCTTGCAGTACATAACGTAAACGCTCGTTGACCTAGAAAACTAAAGGATTCAACCGTTAAAATCAACAAAATTTTGCATACCACCCGTCTTTTCAAATTCGCATGAGAAGAGTTAAAATTGAATGAAAACTGGGTTAAAACTAGAACAGTCGTCTTTATGCAAAATTCGATGAAAGGAGCGACTGGTGGTCCCGCAATAAATCTTCGGTGGCTGCCTCTCGGCGTGCCATCCGTTTTCCGGATGTTAAAAGCATCAACCGATGTTACAAGGGATCTTGGCCGGAATGTCTGCCCAAATATTACATAATCTTTATATCTCACACAATATTATGTGTCTAATTTATTGGTTTATTTTGAAATTTTTCATTTCGTGTTTTGCATAATTTGCAAGATTTTTATAAATTGGTTTTAGCGATCGTTTATTAAACTTAGTAAAATTCAATAAATTCTTATAAACCGTTTCGTCATTCAAATCTATATACACATCTATACACATACACATTGTCAAAGACAGAGATGAGTATACACAAAAAAAAGTTTGCACATGTGTTTGGATTTTGAATGTTATATTCTAACATATATATTCTCCTTATTCTCTTCTGTAATATATGTATATATATTTTTTATACGATATATACACTTTCTAAAGATATTTTATATTTGCATCGATCTTTGATTTTTAATTCTATGTATTAAAAAATTTGATACTAATCCCTCCTACGATTCTCTGTATATACATGTAAAAAGTAAATACATGTTATAGATAATGTGACAAAGGAAGAGATATTGAGAGAAAGAGAGAGAGAGGCATGTAATTAGAGATAATGTGACAGAAAGGGGAAGAGAAAGTCCTGGTCTCTTGTATGAATTCATTGAACATACTATCGCATTTATACGTAAAATCAAATTAATTCTCATGGACGGATTTAATGTCTCCAAATATTATTGGATACCACATTCTTCGAAAATTAATCCGTAATCAAACGCAGGATATTTTTAAAGGTATACGAAAAGTATTCCTCGCTGAAACTATTGTTCTGATTATTTGTTTACTATAAACAGCATGTAAAAAAAAAGAAATTTATCGTCTTTCTCCCTCATCAGTGATACAGAAATATGTACTCATCAATATCGCGTAAATATCGAATGCGTCAAATTAAATTTTTTAGTTAATTCTTGAATTATTATAACGGAATTTCTTGTACTTATGATTCTCAAAGCCTTAAAATATTTATTTGACCTACCTGAAATCGCGCGAAGATAATCTTCAAAAATTACTTTTCTAAAACCTCTTAAATTATAATAATTCACTTCAAAAACTATTTTTCTAAAACCTCTTAAATTACACAGTGATCCATTTTTTCATCTTTTAAACCACAAAAAGAGTATCTTCAAAAGAGTATCTTCACTTTTCTAAAACCTTTTAAATTACAATAATTCAATTTCGAGAATCTTTTGAACCAAAATCCATTTATCTTATTTTGACATTAATGTATTGTACAAGTTGACGTTAATGTATTATGCAGTTAATGAATTGTACAAATATATATATTTTTACTTCTACATTCATTTGGTTCTATTTCTCATTTACAAAAATGATACCATATGTCGAACATATTCTTTGTATATATTCCATTTTCGTGTAATAAAATCTCTTAACGTAAATTTAAAAAAATTTACACATTATTTATGTGTGTGTATGAAGTGATTTAAAATATATTATTTGCTAAAATAATTCTTACAAAGTACTTAATTTACTGTAATGTTATATACCCTTTTCAACATTATAAGTTTGATAAAAACATTAAGGTACAGAAACTGTTTGGAGTTTTTTTGTTAAAGCGATGTATTTTATATTTATTCGCAAACAATGGAAACGTGAACAACAGGCGCAAGATACATTTTTTTTCCTGTAATATAGAAAAATTAAGTATCAGAATTATACTATAATACTGGCTTCAATTTCTAGTGTAAAGGTCCGTAGACACATTGGTCTAATTCTGTGACTTGACATTAATAAATATCCATTTTAGGTGTGACATCGGTTTAAATATGTGCGGGTATATCGGAGATAACGCGTATATCGGAGATAACGCATATAACGCAGACGCGCTAATTTGTAGTCCATTAAAATGGATATTTTGCGAGAGATAATAAATGAACAGTGTGTTTTATGCGCGTTGAGTTTTTGTGCGTGTGCGAAAATGTTTGCTTTACGCGCTTTACACGATTGTTCCGGGAAACCAAATTGTTCATCTTTTTCCCTCTTTTATACCTATACTCGTCGTTGCCATGGTAGCCTTGTGGCTACAAATGTCATAAACTTTTACCGGTTGCATCCTTTCAATAGTTCTCAGGACGATTGTTCAGTAATAACGCAGAAGACTTTTTGGGTAAAAGCCTTTCCGTATCTGCCATCATTTTGCCGCTTTCACTTCCATCTTACCGTATACAAAATTGTCCTTGAGCAAGTTGCCATAAAACTCGCGGTGCTTTTATAGTTCAGGGACAAATACCAGATTAACCCCATTTTTTTCTTCGACTTACAAGAATTGTTCATGGTCGTTTTCTTTTTTCACGTTTGAATTAGTCGGAGGAAAGTGGAGAAACGCGAGAGCATTGTCAATGTATTTTGTTTTGTAAAATTTTAACTTTTAGTGTGAAAAATGTACGGTTATTTAACTTTCGGTTTTATTTTATCCGCGTGTTACAATTATGAAATTAAACTTTAAATTCGTATCAATATTTAGACTCTCGCTGTTTTAATTTATTACACAATTTCTCTCGACACGTACAGTCGGTGTATTTCCGCAACTAATGGCGCTTGACGTGTCGCGAAAAGACGAAAGCTTTGAGCGTTATAATTCGGTATTGTTACGCAACAGAGAACCGACTGTGACAAGTAATTATAATAACGCCACTCTCGGCGAGAGGGTCGGACGAAGTCGTAAGACTGTGTCATTTTGCGACTCACGCAACAATGAGGACTAATTTCTTAAAACATCTCGGCACGTTAGCCGTTTCCGTTTCCTTGTCAGTGCCCAGCAAAAGAGCCGTCGGCCTGGTTTTAATATTGCCTAGTGCCTGCCGGCGTCAAAGACTATAAAGAGACTCGCATCGCGAGAAGGCGTGTTGTACGATTCTGTGAGGGATCAATGTCGACAGAGACTCGTTAACACCGAGATTATTAACGTCAATTATCGTTGACAAGTCTAATTACAAGCTATTTAATTACGTATATCTAATATCGATTTTTTTTCGGAATAAAGTGGCAGAGATCGCTCCTTAAGAAGGAACTGGACGGGTCCGCTACATCAACAGTTAATAATTCTAATTTTGAGATTTATGAATTTGACATTGAGCAAAAAAGCATTACACTGTTAGCCTTTTAAAATATAAAATTAATAATTAATTTATGAGTTAAAGTGAAGATTTGTCCTGTAAAATATAATTTAATTTCAAAATCGTAAATATTATCTTATATCGAGCTTTTTTATAGCGACTGTGCACAAAAATTCGTGAAAATAAAAATTTTAATTCTACAGGACAAATCTTCGCTTTAACTCACAAATTAATTATTAAAAGTGCTTTGTGTGCTTAATGTCAGATTCATATATAAATCTCGAAATATATTGGATTTATTAACTTTTGACGTAGTCGATCCGTCCAGTTCCTTCTTAAGGATGCGACTTACACGCTTCTTTGACTTTGAACGGCAATTCATGTAACACATTGAAGCGCATATCGGAGTCGCAAAATTTTTGCAAGAGATGGAGATGGTCCTTTTCGTGAGGATAGGTGAGAGATACACATACGAGAAACACGTGGAGACGGCGGGATGGGAAAGGGAGACGAGGCTCGGCGAGGA